GAAAGTATTACTTTTATGATAGAATTTCATGAAAGCATATATAAAGCAGGTTGATATCGATAAGATTATATCGGACATGTAATAAACTTCAAGGTATTAATGTTGGGATGAGTCAAATGTTATAAGGTTACCTCGGATCTCTTATAAGAACCATGTATCGATGGTAGGATGATGGTCCAAAACAAATCTGATAAAAACACATTTGTTCCTGTGGTGTGTGTATGCATAATATACTTAGTAATACGTAGGGCAGCATTGAAACGCAAAGAAGAATTATTTAAATCTTTTAATTAGAAATTTGCACTCAGGAACCTTAGTACATTTGTTCTCTACAGTTTAACCCGTGTGCGAGGATATTTTGGTGTCATTGACATATTACTAGTCTACGGTTACCTTAGTTATGATGTGAAATACGGTTACGAGACTGCTAATATATTTATAACATGTAACCAATGGTGATAAATACACCCCAGTCCGCCTGAAGAAATCCTACAAGGCAGAAAGGTCTAGCGGTATATCTTACATATTTCTTATTTTATTCTATATGATAGTATATGTATATAAATATATATTAATTTACCTATTAGTACATTTAAAAAAATACAATTTGACGATTTAAATTTATACCATAACAGTTCGACAAGATAGTTATTCCTAATACAAAATCTAGAATATGTAATTTGAACATCAGAACAACAGTGCATCACGTGTGTGTTAACACACAGTGGTCCAGCAAAACATTCATGATAACGTGTTGTGTTTGGCACTTCTCGTGTACATGTGTATGGTCATTCTTTACGTCTATAAAGTTCATGTACTATAACGACTAGTTTGAAGGTTAATACTTTAAGAAGTTATTTGTCGATGCATTACGTTCCAATTATTCATGTTTTATCTTACGAACATTTGCAGTCAGACAGCTGTACAGTATTTCTGCTATAAGTCTAATTAGTTTGATAAATTACTTTATATCGTCATTGTTTTAATATACTGCTGACGTCAATTTCCAACAGATCTGTTTAAGCAGGTAATGTATTCATCCCTACTTACTTTCCGTGTTTGTGTGTGTGGGTGTGTGTGTAGATGGCTTTGTGTGTATATTTTGTGGTGTTTTTTCAAGAACTTTTCTAACAAATTGCCTTTCTCTTCATGCCATTTCTATTTCTTCCCATAAAACTTAAGTTGTTATATGGAATGAATGAACCATTTTCACAAGATAAAATGAAACCACGTGAAATTTGAGTTTGAAATAATACGGAAAACTCTGGTTTAGAAACAGGTTAGGCTTATAGTAAATGGCGCACATTGTAATACGCCTGTGTTTTTGTGACTAAGCTATATTTGTACCTTATGTAGCAACGCTATCATTGTACACTGTATAAGTAGGCAAAAGTAAAGCCTGCTGAGTGTGTGGTTTACTAAGTATCAAGATGTTCCTGCAGGATCGCTTAATATCCGGCCTCCTCTGCCCCGGCCCCATATATAAAAAAAATGTCTCGTCGTCAGAAGCTCATTATCGCAGCTAGATCACACACACATATATATATTGTTATCCAAACGGCAAAAAGAAAGCGATTGTGAGACTTTTAATTTATTTTGGGTTGTGTTTGAGACTTTTCATTTATTTCGGGCTGTATATGCTAAGAACGGAAAAATGCAGTTTGAATAAAAATACAACATCAAATAAAGGTAAAACAATGACGGTGTACAGGAGCTGAAACTAGTAGCTACTTTAACTCCTTATAATTTGAGAAACTCTGAGAACTATTCCATTCCTAATTTCCGCTTACAATCTTCACTTAACTCGTTCATACCTTCTACTTTAAGACTATGGAATGAGCTTGACACTAATATTAAAACTGCACATTCTTTTAAGAGCTTCACAAACTGCCTCAAAAAACAAAATGAAACATTTAAAGTGCCTGTTTTTTATTTAGCCGGTGACCGTAAGTTAAATATTTTACTAACCAAACTCCGTCATAAATGCAGCCCTTTANCTCTCTCTCTCTCTCTCTCTCTCTCTCTCTCTCTCTCTCTCTCTCTCTCTCCCAATAATAGATAAATGTAGTGATTTAAACTATGAAATCCATCTTATGATGTGTATATACAATTATTTATCTTATAAGGAAAGGGCGTTAATAATGTTCATGTAACTTGTGCCCAATCCTCTTGCATTTTTTGGCAATAAAATATGTTTAAACTAAAACTGTTTATGTATTTCCCCAGTTCTATATAACGTGTGCCCAACATTTTTATCTTGATCTAAGCTTATGCATGACACACATTGGATTTTCCTCTACCGCATTGAAAAACACTGACCGTACCTATGGCTAGCTATATATAAAGGGCTTTTGGTTCCGGGGAAAATAACTTTACGTCCGGTTATGAGAATAAGCCTGAAGATTTCAACATCTTTATTTATACGCTCGGACAAACTTGGACTAGCATTTTAATTGATTATGTTTGATTTCTTTATGTATTTTATTGAAATAAGAAGTCTTTTATTTCACGTGTGGCTGTGAGAAATGTGCCGTTCTTAATACGTAGTAGATACATAGCAGAGTATTTCTGTGTGTGGGTCGTTTAGAACTGAATGTATTCCATGGATGCAGATATGTATAGAAAATATAGGGGGGGAGGGGGGAGGGGTCGCACTTTTCACACTATGTCTAGGATATCTGTCTCTGACTTACACAAATCTTTGACCCAATGACACACATGGCGTCAATAACAAACTGTCAAATTGCATTGTTTTCATTTTAACTGGGTCAAACTCGTATATAGAATGTTGACCATGTATTGCCCGAATTTTATTGTAAATGAAAGGCAAAACTTCATTCCCTGGTCATCATAAATCGTTTTAAATAACGATATAATGGGCTGTATGCTATTTTTATTTGGGGCAATGGAAAAAAGCAACAACAAAACAAAGTTATGAGCTATGTTTGTAAACTTTTGAAAAAAAAAATGATATAAAAGGACATTTGTTTTTATTTTGATTAAACCCCTTTAAAGCATTCTGCTGTACTGTTAAAGAGTTACCCCTATAGGTTCAGGGAAAAAACAGAAATACTGTATATCGCATTGCAGCTGATCATTAGAGGCGACTTATGTGTGGCCTCCAACTAGAGATGTCTGGTGCCCCACACCTGTGTCAGTGCCAGCGGAAACTCGGGCTAAGATTTCCTTCTGTCCTTTACCTAGGGGACAACGAAGAAACCATAATTGATCTGCTGCATCAATTGCCTTTTTCTTTCCTCACTTCCATATTTTTTATTTATATATGACCCTGGCCGTTGCGAGGACGTTAAACAACAAACAGTTTTCCATCGACTAAGCTGTTTTGATCCTCTAAATGCCAAGCGAGATAATTATCACGTAAGTATTTAACTCGGCTTTTTATCGTCTTCCCAATTTAGGTCGACATCTTTTAAAAAACATGTCGACATAGATAACTCGCGAGTCGAATGTTGATGGCAGAAATATGCCATCAAACGACGGTATTACATCTGGGGTTAATATCACAGTAACTTCTTCTATTTTTTTTTTTTTGAAATTTCGAATCACAGCAATCTATCCATATTCTAAAATATCTGTTATTACATGTAGCATACTTTAGTATTTCATTGTGTTTGCTGTGGCATTTTGAGATAAACAAAAAGTATAGTTGACTTGAAACAATTATATCGAATGATTATTCTTTCCGTTGTTCTATTGAAATACGGACTAGAGTTTGACCTGTGACGTGTTTGTCTATACGTTGTCATCTTATAATTAGGGCATGTCTTCCATCGAAAACTCTTACTTTCTCAGGGTTGCTCTCTAAACTGCTTAATTTATTATGAAAATATCTCGTCACACAGTGGAGACGTATTGATAGTTTGAGCAACAAACTCCATACAAAAGACATTTTCAAATGACAAATCTGATGCATTGTATTTTCATAATCTGGTGTATTTGATAAACACGGTTACATGTATGTATATTGTTTTCAATAAATTGGAGATTACAAAATAACATTTTAAAGACAACAGAAGATTTTACCCAATAGTAACAGTGGGAACAATAGCTCATAGGTCCGATCGAAATTCATTTTTTTTTCAGGAATATTATTTACTAAACCAAAGATAACATGTTAACTGTTTTCCCAAATTTTGTTGTTATATTATGATAGCAAATTAATAAAACAACATTATATGTTACATCAGTCCGGTAATTTTCAAGTATTGTAAGAAAAAATAATAAAATGGAACAGTTTTATTTGAAGAGTGACTATAAGCTTCGAAACTTGTGTTTTGATCAGCATAAAAAATATCACTTCGCGAAAAAGAATTCCTCAAGCCAGTCGACATTAACCAGCCGATAATGAAAAAGTAAGATTTGTGAACATGGTTACATAAAATATTGTCGCTGTATGTTGGAAGGGGAATAAGCCACATTTTTCTCACTTGTGGGATCACACAAGTACATATAATTAAATAATATCATTATCTCAGTTGAACAAGCCGATTTAGCTCCAGAACATAAATTGACTCTCCTGTGTAGGTGTTGATTTGTCTGCTTTTATCGTGCTATCTAAGTCCGTGGTAAAATAGACAATGCATTCAGGAATTATTTTGCGAAAATTCTACGAGTATTTTAGAAAATGTTTCTGAAACCTCTGAAAAACTCACGATAACTATAGTCGCAACCCAGATGAGTTATCGATTATTTTGAACAGATATACGGTCAGATTTACAGAAGGTTGCTGCAACAGGAACATGAAAAGAATAAATAAGAACTAAACTTGAAGCCCTGTATGACTTTGTGGTATTTGAAGAGTCAGTGCAATCTAATCTAATTCCGTGGTGCATTCAGTCAACCAACACACACAGGGGAGGGAAAAAGAAAGAAATTCTGTCTGAAACCTGTATCTTTACATGATTATGGATGAACTAGATTTTAGACGACTCAAAACTCCCGCCAAATTCAAAGTGAAAGCGGAAGTGCCTTTAGTTGGCCGGAAGTGATTGTTTGATCGCTAAGTTAGCACTGACTTCTGAAATAGTATATTGCACAAGCTTCTTGTAACCTGCATGTATATGTGAACAACGAATGCAGACATCGAGGTAAGAATCGGACGGTTCGAAATAACAAGGGTATCATCTACTGGTAAACCATGAATATATTTAAATGTTCCCTTGTAAAATGTCTTCCTTGGTTTTCGGCATCAACAAACGCAACACGTTCATAACACATGCATAATCATATCATGTGATCATTGATACATTTACTATTGTTTTCTTTTGGTTTTAGTTATAAAGATCATGTAAATCAAGTGTACCTTATCCAGATACATTGTCACATATACTAAATATCTCTGTCAAAGCATGAGACAGTAACTGCAGAACTAAACGAAATGGACCAGGGGAAGCAACTCTTACTTAATGATGTCTTTATTTCAGGATTGTCACATTTTTTCGACCAGTTCACACATTTACTAGGAATATGGCGACTGCCTCTTCTAATGTGGTAAGTAATTATTTATTCTCTACATGAAGCAGTATCATTAGCGATTAACTTATGAAATAAATAGTGTAACATAGGATTACACTTATTATTGTCAAAATAATTATTACTACAAGAAAAAAGCAAGTGATAGTAAAATCCATATTGATATATAATTACATTGACATTACTGTGACAGCTGAATGTTTCTGTCAGCATGACAGCATGAGGTAACCTCCCTTGACATATCTTTATATTTGTTGGTACAATGCATTAACTCATACATGTCACACCTACAATTTTAAACTGGACTTGCCCAACCATTGATTTGGTAAGGTTCAAATGTGATTTTAGGGATGAATGGGTTAATACCTTATGTACATTTTACAAACTTTGTTTATCAGAACTGCTGTCTTAATCCTACACGCAGACATTTTGCTAATATATTGTTTATCACTGTAATTGCTAAAGTTTGTTCTGCAATTGTCACATGACACAGATATAGTTGTGTGGTGGGAGAGGGTACTGTCCTGGATACGTTATTACTACCCCTTCCCCGTCCCTTCCAGATTTTTGTATAAATTAAAAAAAAATATATAAATAAAAAAAAATTAATGAAAATCTCTTCATCCTCAATTACTCATATCAATAATCTATTAAGCAGGAATCTGAACATAAAGTCAGATTTTATATTCCAACATTATGTTGAATATATTACACAGGGGCATACACTACTAGACCACAAGTTGATTTTGAAAAGTTCGACTAGTACTACTACCCCAACCTGCATTTTTAATAGTAAATATGGAAAATTTTGGCTAGCCCCAACTTAAAATCTACTAGCCAAGGGCATCGGGCTAGTGGAATTGTACACCCCTGCCTGTGTATAAGCTAGTTTAGTAGGAATTTAAACTAAAGAAAATAACTAATGTAAGTTTTTTGTATTTAAATGATTTATAAGAATATTGATGATTTGAGTATACATCTTAATTATTATTTCAGACCTTCAAGTTTAATCAGGTGGAGGGAGATCTATTCTCCTGTCCTGAAACAGAGTCCTTGGCCCACTGTATCAGTGAAGATATCCGTATGGGCAAAGGAATTGCTGTCTTGTTCAAGAAAAAGTTTGGCAGAGTGGATGAACTCAAGGCAATGAGTATGTTTATATTTATAATTCAATCGCTGGCTGTTAATTGAAAGAAAATTCTTTTCAACTTTAAACTGTTTCTACTTTTGTGAAATAAAGGATGCATAATTATTCACACAATTGTCTACTTGCATCCTGGTTAGACAGGAACATGGATAAAATATCTATTGTCTTGGTCAAGATCAGAACAGCATTAGCTGCTCTGTCAATTCAATAGACCCTCTCCATTAGAAAGGCTGACACACTGTTGAATGTGCTACATTGCTACATATAATACTGCTTCCTAGCATTTGTATACAGATCTATTTTCAGGAGAATAACACCGATGTGACCTGTAGGTCACTTTGACCTTTATTTTCCACTTCACTGACTTTTCTAATAGTAATAGACTTTTGACCTATATTTTCCACTTCACTGACTTTTCTTATAGACTTTTGACCTTTATTTTCCACTTCACTGACTTTTCTAATAGACTTTTGACCTATATTTTCCACTTCACTGACTTTTCTAATAGACTTTTGACCTATATTTTCCACTTCACTGACTTTTCTAATAGACTTTTGACCTATATTTTCCACTTCACTGACTTTTCTAATAGACTTTTGACCTATATTTTCCACTTCACTGACTTTTCTCATAGACTTAGCTAGCTCTATTTGTGTTGTGATACTTTGTATTTAAATGCAATATTTCTGATATTACTAGAAAGTCCTGTAGTAATCAAATTTTATATGAAGATTCTTTTTGAGGTGCACTACAACATCATATGGCGTACATTGTGTACGTAGGTTACTGTGAGTAATTTTTAGCTTCACTGACTTTTGTGAACTTTGTATTTTTAGATTTATTTGTGGGTTTTTGACGCTGATTTTAGACATTTAAGTCCCTGTGTATATTAAGTCATGACGTATTGTGTTTGGCATGCGTACTGTGGAATAAAATTACACATGTGAAGCGACCATGATTAGTTGGTTAGTGTTTTTGATACAAACGGTTTAACTCGGGCCTGTATTCATGAAACAATTCTTGCGCTCAAGCATGAATTCTGTGCTCTTACCAACTTTATTGTAACACGCTTAAATCATGTCGAACAATAAGAAAGTCAAATCAAACATTGAAAACAATTTTCTGCTTCAAGTCTCTTCAATGTTTTCACAAATCATTGACAAAATAAGGTATTCTTATTAGGTCACCTGAGTTTTGCTCAAGTGACCTATACTGATTGCTTTCCCTCCGTCGTCGTCCGTCGTGCGTAAACTTTTTACATTTTAAACTTCTTCTCAAGAACCAGAGGTTGGAATGTTTTCAAACTTGGTCAGAATCATCCTTGGTAGATGAGGCTAACAAATTGTAAAATTGGGATTCCTACCCCAACCACAGGGGCACGCAACTACTATTAATATTGATCTGATTTTAGGTTTTCAGTTGCTGGGTATGTTCTGAAGTCCTAAAACAAGATCAAATATTAATAGTAGTTGCGTGCCCCTGTGCCCCAACCCCTGGGGCCAGGGTGGGGCCCCAAAGGGAAAATTAACCAATATTTCAAACATCTTCCTCTCCAGATTTAGAGGTACTACAGTCATTTTCTGTGCATGGATGGAAATGTCATCAGGGGCTTTATTTCAATTGTAAATTTCAGGCCCCCCAAACTATCCGTTATCCCTTGGGGAGGGGGTAAAGTTTACTATAGTTTATACATTGTATAGGGAAATAACACTTTTGGGTATTTTTTATCCATTTTCAGCAGAAAATTATTCAAACTTAGTCAGAATCATCTTTGATGGATGAGGGTATTACATTGTAAAATCGGGATTTCTACCCCATCCCCAGGGGCTAGGGCGGGACCCCAAAGGGAAAATTTACCAATATTTTAAAATTCTTATCTTTTGATGACATGACAAGAATTGTATTACACTTATTTTACATGCTGATTTCCATCTCAACAATAAAGTTGTGCTACCAGTACTTATGATATAACTCAGGTGACTGCTAAGGCCTCTTGTTAATTCATAGCAGGAACAAGAAATTTGGCTTGAGCACAGAATCCATGCTTGAGCAAGAGAACGCTTTCTTGAGTACTGGCCCAGAGCTCAATCCTACAAGTACTTCACCATAATGTGACTTACACAGTGTTTTCTCCAGAAGGGGGGATTGTGTACATTCCTACCAGTGAATTGATATATTTTGCCTAAGTAATATTACCAATGCCCTCCTTTTTTTTCAAACCTTGAGAAACACTTCATACAAAATTAACAAAGATATATGTTTTGCTTCACTGACTTTAATTAGACTTTGTTTTGGATCCAATATATTTTCCGTTTTACTTTGGGTTAAGACCCATTTTCACCAAAGTGATGTTTCACAAACATTTTCTTGTTAAAGAAATTGATTTCTTTTTCAAATGATTTTTTTTTTTATATATTTTTTTTCCTCTTTACAGAGAGGAAAACTGGTGAATTGGCAGTTCTACGGGTCGGTAAACGATTTGTGTACAACCTAATAACCAAACCTAAAGCTAACGATAAACCAACCTATGACACGTTGAGAGCCAGTTTAAAGGAGATGAAGAAACACTGTGTGAGGTACAATGTGACCTCAGTGTCCATGCCTTGTATTGGCTGTGGCCTGGACCGTCTCAACTGGGAGGAGGTTTCTACAATGATATGCGAAACCTTCAGCGATACAGGAATGACAATAACTGTTTATCAGTTTCCTCCAAAAACCAAAACATAAACAAATTTACCAGTGGAACCTATTTATGCAACCACAGAACCACTACTTTGGTTCGAAGACCTCATGCTTTCGGATTAGTATTCAGACTCAATTGTATATTGAAATGTATATAACTGTACATATCAAGCATATACAGGTTTGAATATTGAGCAATCAAATGTTAATGTGGGACTACACTATATCATCTGTGAACTTCGTAAAACACAAATTCAATATGTCTGATGAATGTGGCATGGAATATTTTGTACCTGCCACGGAAACATCACTTGTTAGAGTTTCATTTGTTGTGCTTTGTAGCGTGCCGAAATGTGAAAACAACCCAATATGTGAAACAGGAAAAAATTATTGAACTAATTAATTACTGTGTTTAAATTACTTATTATTCAAACTAACTCTAATGTGAACCATCCCAACTACCCCGTAATTAAATCCACTAATTAGCAACACAAATGAATTCAATATAGTTTTTCCTGTTTTCACATATTGGCACACTACAGTGCTTTATGAACTTTATACAGTCTATGTTTACCGATCTGGAGAAAAAGTTTTGAAATAAAAAAATAATGTATACACCAGAGTGGCTCTATATAACCTGTGTATTGTGATATGATTGGAATACCATTATAACAGATACATTTTGTAAATACGACTTCTCTAACTAATACAATACATACCGTCATACAACCTCTGGAAACCAATATTTTTTATATATACCTGTTTTTTTTATTGGATATATAGAGAATCTGTTATAAGTTTTCCTTCATAATAGATTTATGATACAAGTTTTAGAATTTTCATATTAGCTTGCCAAAGGTTCGCAAACATGAAAAATCTAAAATGAGTATCATGAATCCAATATGAAGGGAAACAAATGACAGATTCTTTTTTATCATATGATCTGAAACGAATATTTTGCACTTGGTCGCCTCTGAAATGATGAAAATTGCGTCCGCTTCACAATGACGTTACGTCACATTGATTGTTCCTATTCAATTGTGACGTCATTTCCGGAATGATGATTCACACATGCTACATAAACATAATTTATGTGATGACTTCATGACACTGCATAACACGGTATTCATATGATAAATTGTGATATGGCATTTTCTTGCTTGGTGACATGAAAACTGGTTAATTAATTAAAACAAAATAAAATGTCATGGATTTAACATTCAGTTGCTCAGTATGTACTACAAAATTAGACATAAAAACTTGATACACAAATATTTATTTTTATTATGGTAATGAAAATTAGGGAAACATTGCGACATGTATCACACTTTTTGTTATTGACATTTTAATTTTATCATGAAAATATTTTGTTAGATCCAGCCCTATAAGACATTGTGTGGTGTGGGATTTTATGTTTTAACAAATTCTTTTTAAATTGATAAGTATACATGTACAATAGCTGTATTTCAAATTTGCCTTCTCCAGAAGTCTGTTTGTTAGCGGACAAGCTATATGTTGAAATCTAACTGTGTGTTTATTATCAAACAAGTAAATATCTTTGACTAAATGATCCAGATAATTTTAGATTGGTTTATCATTAATTGAATATATATTTTACATTGCAATTTTTATTTTGCCCTTAGATTAAAAGTCAGTTGCAGATAAAAATGTGCCTAAATACAGCTTTTTGTTATGTAATCTCTTGATTTACTATGTAAACTTTTAATCAAACAAGGCATTGTATGGATGGTTGTGAATTCTATATTCGTCCTTTTGTTTAAGTTTTGTACGGATACAAAGTATTCCTTTTTTTTTTTTTTTAATTTTTAAATTTTTGAACATTTTTTTGCCAGCAATGGATACTAAAATAGCTCTACATATACAACTTAGTTTTGGGATACCTAGAGTAAGATCTTTATTCTAGGATTAAAACAAAATTTGGGAGAAACTTTTACTGAATTTATTAGGGACCATTTTTAAGGTTTCGGGATGATGGTTTTATTATAAGGCCCCCTGATAAGGTTTAAGAGGAATTTCAGAACCTGTTTAAATCATTACATCCTTCTTTATCTTTCTTAGACATTTTAGTTCTTTATAGGTTCGAAAGCCTAGAACATGTATTTGAAATGATATTGATTTAATTCAATGCTTCTTTGGACAGTTCGCTCAACGGAGACAATTAAGATTTATAATTTATAAACCTAAATCTTAAGATTTTTGGAGCAAATACAAAATAATGCTATTTGGTATTAGTAATAATTGATTTTGCAAATCACTCGGTTGTATTTGTGTGTACGGTTGACAGTTCTATACATGTAATTGGTTATCGGGGAATGAGAAATGTGTGAGCTATTTAAGGAGTGTAAAGTGACAGATAGGGCTAGCCTAGCCTATGGTTTGTCGGTGGTCAAAATTTACCTGATGGTGAGATGTAGTTGTGATTCAAAGCAAGCTTATAGAGAAGCCTCCAGTAGAGAAATTCTTGTCTGATATCCTGATTATATTTCACCTGATTAAATATTGATGGAAATATATTTATCAATTGTTTGATTGAATATATAATTGCAGCTATGCACCATCCCCCTCCCCTGTCCAGCCCCCCCCCTCCGTCCATGTTATCATATTTTGTTTCCACATAATCACTTTAATCTCATCTCATTTAACTTTGATGAAATTTACATCAGCATCCACAATATACAAAGATTACAAATAATTTTGTTTATCAGAACCTTTTTAGTAATTATTCGATTTACAAAATTTGACATTCTTGTCAGACAAGATACCCTGTAAGGTAAATAAGTGTCTATGACACTGACTCCGTTTCTGTTTTGATATTCTAAAGAGGCAAATGGTACTTCCTGATGAATTTCGACGCGTTTAGCCTATATTTAAGTGTTTTATCCTACATCCATGTGTTTACTAGTAATCATACATAAAAGCGTTGTCAGTGTAAAAATGTTGGTGACAAAGTGCAGCAAACTTTTTAGTATCCAAATCTTAAGAATTTGGATTCTTAAGAACC